TAGCCTCTGCGGTTAATGTTATCTACAAGGCGAAAAGCGATATTAATATATGTGTAAAACTTGTGCACTGTGGTTGTAAGTAATTCCATATTAGTTTGTCTATTAGATGTATCACATAGTTAAACAGTATTATTTACTGGATGACGTTTTGAAGAAAATTTATTGTTGGTAGTGAAACTGAGGGAGTTGCCATGGGATCACCAATATCCCCAGTTGTAGCAGATATATTCATGGATAGGTGGGAAACGTTCACCCCCACTCTAAAAGTATGGTGGAGGTATGTAGATAACACATTCGCTGTACTTAGGACACAGGATGTAGATAGATTTTTCGAACATATTAAGTCAAAGGTGGAGGCAATTCAGTTCGCTTATGAATTAGAAAGTCAGGAAGGGGAGCTTTGAATGTTAGATTGCAGCGTGAAAAAGAAAGAAAATGAGAAGTTTAACACTAGTGTTTACAGGAAACTCACACATTCAAACAGATATTTCAACTTCCCATCATACCACTCTATGTCAGTGGAAATAGGATTGGTGAAATGTTTAAGTGACAGAGCACAAAAACGAAGTAGTATCAAGGAAAACCGAAGATAAGAAGTGATACACATTAAAAAAAGCCTTGAAACTTAATAATTACCCTGATAAATTAGTCAGTGCGTCGGTGGCACAGTGGTTAGGACTCTCGCCGACCATGCACATGGTCCGGGGTTCGAACCCCTGCCGGCGCACACCCGATATCTATGGTATGCCTGAATTTGGGCAACCGATATCCATGCTGAAAGTTCCACACTTGTACTGAAAATACGGTGTGGAAATCAAGCTGTAAATCCAAAAAAAAAAAAAAAGAAAGTATGTAGGGAAATGCAAATATAAAATAAGTAATGATAGTAGTGACAGTGATAATGATAATAATAATAATAATGACAATAATAATAATAATAACAATCATAACAATAGTAATATTAATGACGACATGTATGTCAAACATGCGCAAGACAACATCAACAATAAGGAATCTAAATCATCAGTAGTAATTCCATACAAGGAGGGAACCTTGGAAACCTTACGCAGAATTCTTAACAAGGCGGGAATTAAAGTGGCATTCAAACCCACAAACTCAATTAGAAACAAGCTTTGTCGGTTAAAGGATCCTGTAGAACCTTTAAAACAAAACAATTTAGTTTATCTAATACCCTGCCGGAATGACTGTCTGGTCAAATACATAGTTCACACTAGTAGAACAGGGGCAGTCAGACTAGCCGAACATAAAAACCTAACAAAATCTACATTAGTTGACTCGGATAAGATAATAAATCTAGAGAATAGTTCAGCTATACCACTCACTACATGCAATTACACACAACCATTTATTTTTTAAAATTTTTTATATTTTTGGTTACCGCTTGATGCCACACCGTATTATCAGTACAAGTATGGCATTTTCAGCATGGATATCGGTAGCCCAAATTTTGCAGGCCGACCACAGATATCGGGTGTGCGTCGGCCGGGGATCGAACCCCGGACCATGTGCATGGTCGGCGAGAGTCCTAACCACTGTGCCACCGACGCCATGCGATAGGATGGGATAGGATGACAGTTTTAAAATCTAGAGTAGCAAGGAGAGGGAGAGATTGATTATAACGGAAGTTTTGTTTATCAAATCAACTGCAAATACGTGTAATAGGAATGATTAAACACCTTTCCACCCAGACATCTTGGAAATTCTACTACCCCTACGACAAATAGGAGAGGACAAAGAAAACTATAAAACTCAAGTTTCAAAGTCGTGTGATTATAATTGATGATTATGAACAATAAATTTTGTTCGAAACGTCATCCAGTAAATAATACTGTTTCACACTGTGTGATACATCTAATAATCAAACTAATATGGAAAGGCGAAAAGTGATTTGCCCAAATTATGAAGTACCCAACTCATCTCTATTGCTGAAGCTATCTTTGGCCGTCAAAGCAGAAAAGCCAGATCTCTGTATACACAGAAAGTTTGTTCAACCCCTCCTACTTTCATAGTCTTAATCCTTCTCTGCTAACGCATGGTAATCCCTAATCAAATTTTAGCTCTAATAATTTTTTCGTTTTGTTTATTCAGTTTGTATACGCTTCCTATATTACGACAATTGTTACTATTACTATCCTCAATCTGAAATGTCCCCGGTATTCTTTCACTCGTTCCACTTGTCATTCTAAATCAATTCTGTTTTGCAACGTTAAACTGTATATCATCGAATTTCACACAGTGTTACGTATTGCTTTTACTTTATTCCATTTGACTACTAATCCAATAATTCCACCCCCATTCATATTTCTTTTCATCCTATTTATTGTCCTATATATGACACTAATTGCTTAGCCACTTCACACTGAACTATGATTATAATCACAAATATGTTAATTGCGTTTCATACTACTACTATTATTATTTTATGTCTCACACCTGTGGTTCAATTCCCTCACCTGATATAATTTCTCAGAAACCATGCAATATACGTTTGTACAGCTTGATGATAAATTCTTTGAGTAGAGTTTCTTCGCTGAATCACTAGGACTGACTTTCAGTGTGTCCCATGAACTGCATGAACCTGCATTTTACTCTCATGTAGCTGATGAAGCGACAGTAGTCCCTCATTTGTGGCCTTTCAGAAATGAACCAGTGAATTGGAAGATTTCTTTAAATATGGGACTCTACTTCTCTGACATTTTAGCAGGGACAGGGACAATTTCATTTACGTCAGTCTAGTCCATAACATGTAGAATGTACTTTGACTATGTCAACCTTTTTGACGTTGAGTTGAGTTTTCCAATATTAGTGTTGCTTCATGAATCTTTCTGTTTACTGGCTGTCCAAATGATGTACTAGATAAATGTAGTTGTTTTTAAAATAATATAATAGCTCGCTTATGACTAAGCAAAATAGCCAGAGAATTAAATTTCAGCTCAAGCAAATTTATAGTCACTAGTAAGATTATAATACGTGTGAGTTTAGAAACTGCAGCATTGTTCTATGAAACGTAATACTAAAACAAATTATTTTGGCGAACAATTACAGTGTTAGACTAGCCAAACACTGCGTTGAAAATGTACTCATCAGCCAAAGAGCAATGGAAATCAATGTGTTTAGTGAGTAATGAGACGTTAGGTCAGTATTTATGATCGTATGATCACGCATGCAGTTATATTCAAGTAGATCAGCCTGACACAGGTAAATCAACTTTAATTGCAGTCTTATCAAATCCACTAGTGACTAGCTATATGCAGGAGGTTACCAGGCATTCTAGTGAGAGGTCGTTATCAGCGGGATCCAGAAATTCTGGCAAGAGAACAATTATTTGCCGATGAAATTGGCTAGTTGGTCAGGTGTCAGTGGCTTAATTGTCTATGAGGTTGCCTCGTAACCAGGAGGTCCTTGATTCCAACCTCAGCGAGTGGGTTCTTCTAGACAGTTTCAGACTAGGACGAAATGGCTGTCCAGTACTCTCTGCCGGTTTTCGAGTGGTTCTCTAACTGATGTCGACTCGTGATGAAATCTGTAACCGACAAAATTTATGCAAACCAACACTTGATAAAATATCCACAGTCTCTTTAGGTGTTATTGTCAGTGAACTGACTTCACTTTTCATTGTGTATATGCTGACTTTATTTGTTTAGCCTTGTTCGTTGAAAGTTCCCAATGGATATCATCTATATGTCGAGGTGAAGCTCTTCCCAATAGTAAATAATGGTAATTATTCCCTTTTTTCCCCCTGTTTCGCTGGTAGTTGTAACTTTTAAGACTAACTTTGCAAAGGAGTCCATTTTGGTTTCATCCAGATCATAATTTAATACTCTTCCTCTGATTTTGCATTCCTATTATGGATAGATTTTTACGTAGAATAACAGCTTAGTTCTAAGGTGTCAAAATAAATAGTCGTATTTGTGTGACAAACGTGCTAGGCTGAAATCGATTACAAAATATTGCAAAATGGGAGACAATGGTGGTTATTAGTCATAATAGATTTGTAGAGTGTTGAGTAGGGAAACTGACAAGTCAGTTCAAGGTTATAAAAGGTATCAGGTGAGTGGCTAGTACAAAGTAGTACGTATCAAAAGGAGATAGTAAGACTGCAATGAGAGGTTCATAATGAAGTAACGAATGTGTGAAATGAAACAGGTAGAGGCATACACTGAGAAAAGAGACAATACCACTAACAATATGTCCGGATAGTGTAAATGGGAAATTCGATAGTATTGAGAGAATGTTTGCATGACGAATAATAATAATTGTGATAATAAGCAAAGAAAAAAGAAAACAAAGAGGGTTAAGGGGGAGAAGCACTCTTGGTGAGAAGAAGAATCATCACTCCAAGTTTGGCTACGATGGGAACAGAGTCTGACCGTGTTCTGTTTGGATACAAAGTTCCGGTTTAGTCGATCTTATTGCAACAGCTTCAGCCATATGTAGGAGACCTAAGCGAACTGTACGTGATAACGACTTCGGAATTCGGTTTATAATCCTGAAATCTAAGTTGACATCGATGCGATGTCCAGTATCGACCAAGTGTGACAAGATCGAGCTTTTTATTCACTTAATTCGGCCCCCCCGGTGCTGAACCAAGCTGGTAAATTTTCTCGAATCCGTAGATGAACCTGCCTAATCGTGCGCCCTATATAACTTGAACTACAGGAACAGCTGAAATGGTATATGCACGAAGAAGCGCTAAGGTTAGGTAAGACATCTTTGAGTTGCTGGGTGAAAGATAGACACAGACGTGCAGAGCAGAAAGTTTTCTTGATCGCATACTATTAAATATTACGAATAAATTCTTAGGACAATCTGAAGAACCACTTGTTGAAGAAGTCTTGGATATCACATAATATTTATCTTTTTTCGGTATTAAAGCAATTTTTCCCCTATTTACAACACTCATTTTCTCTTAAATTACTGATCGAAAGCTAATAATTATGATAATAATAATAATAGTAATATTGTAAAAGAGGACTAACTGTTTATTGATAATAATTTGTAATTGTTTCATATGAAAAGAATTCAACCATCTTACACCACCAAAGAATAATAAAGCTTCATTGAATTTCCTCTTGAACCTGTCAAAAACCAACCAACCAACAAACAGAAAAAAACAACAACAAAAAAGAGATGAAAACAGAAACCAAAAGTAAAGTTCAGTATTTAGACTACTAATCATACTCAAAATAGTCGAAAATAAAATGATAATCATTCGATTTTTAAATGATTTGAGTGAATGTGTGTTGAGTGTGCTGTGATACAGATAAGCAAAGTATATACACCACGCATATGCACATATATATATATCAGCTTAGGCATTTATCACAGCGCTATTATATATATAGATAGATAGAGATTATCACTGTAGTCCAAAAGGTATGCCACATTCTTTCGTTTACTCTATCTACTCTTGATGACTTCATGCATATGAATACATCAATGAGAGGAGATAGGTATATAGCACACTCAAGTATACACTCACGAACATATATATATACATATATATGTGCATATAAAACTCACATATTGAACAAAACACTTACTATTGATCACTAGATTTCACATTTTTGTTATCCTCCATTCTCGATTGATATACGATTAAAAAAAAAGAAAGAAAAGCAAAACGAGAGAAAATTCAACTTACCTAAAAAGTGATTGTATCAAATCAGTGATCAATGATCTATTCGACTGGTGTTCTTTTTTAGAGTAATCTGGATAATAGATAAATCGTATAAGTTTTGCCCCATTGTTGATCAGCATCATTTCACCATGTGTCTCTTGAACATTGAACAGTTTTGTTTTGTTTAAACGATACACTAAGGAGTACATTAAACCGCGTAAAGTTGAATCACCGAAAAATAGGAGCTGTAGTATAGTTAGAAAAATCAAAGTGGACCAGAGACAGAGAGAGGGAAAAACCGTTAATTAAAGGTAAATAAAGGAAGAGGTGAAATGAGGATTACTGTTAAAATGTTTTTGGATTCACGCCGATTTGAAAGAAGACAATGACTGATGCGAATAATACTCATTGGGATTCAGTCTTTGTTAGTTTTGGCAAGTGTTTGACTGTGAAAACTCAGTTATGAACCTGAATGTATTTGTCAACAACCACTTCTTTGTAAAATATATCCTATCAGGCAGTAACATCCGAAGGACATTGAGCAAAATCATCAAAACTGGAGGCCTGCTCAAATAACTAGGCATCTTGCTTGAAATTTACTCCATTTCACTGTGTTTTAGCCAATGTACTACATGCTTGAACAACAATCTGTACCCATTTGAATATTTGATTGGTTCCTAAGGAATACAACAGTCAGGGGTTGCAGCGAGTAACAGATACAACAGTATTCTATCGAATTTCATGCCGCAGATAGACATTTTGTTCAGAGTAAAGCTATTATTGTGAGTCAGTGGCACAGCGACAGGAATGCTCGCCGACCACTCATGTGGTCCCAGGTTCGATTCCCGGCCACTGACGCACTCTTTTACTTCGCTAAGCCAGTAATAAGATTGGTAAAGAGGGGAGGTTGGGCGTAGGGCTAGCGACCCCATCCCATAAAAATAAATACCATCGCTTCCGAAACTTCGAGTCTCTAGCTTGAAGCCCTATGTACCACTGGGAACGTGAAGGAACAAAAAAATAAATAAAAGGCTGTTATTACATTAGATTCAGACTCGTTGACACTTGTGCAATAAACCCCTAAAGATTTACTCATACGTTGTGTAAACGGAGAACAAAAGTTACTCAAGGTGAACTTGTTAACTACAAGGACGGTGGTCAAAAATTCAAGTCCTCTATACTGGATACACTTTCTTTACTGAAAAATATAGTGATGCAGTGACTTATGTTGATTGGGATGCATGCTCATCTCCACAATCACTGGATGAACTGTACTCAACACTTCAAGAAGTTAGAAATACTTTGTCAGTTTGCATTATGGAGTTATACTTCATCGAAGCGGTGCAGATTTGTTTCTACGTGGATTCGATGAAGCTGGTAATTCTGTTTTCACTCAGCACCAGTAACACTGAGTTCATATTTGTGAGAGACTGTAATGTTTTAAAAACAAACTCACTGGTGAAATTATCACAACATTTGGAGATTTATAGTGTTTCCATATTACGGTATTGGATCAGAAATAACCGAACTGTTTATTCATTCAAAACCGTGAAAATTTTAACAGATCACTCATTCCAAAAGAACTACTGGGTGTATATGGATTATGGAGAAGCTATTTGTTATATATTGTTATTGTCCCCTTAGGTTCCAAGTGGAATACAATGCTTCAACAACACGTCTCCAGTTTCTCCTATTTTCTGCTGTCTTCTTCAGCTGGGTCCTCGATTTCCCATAATTTCTCATCTCCCCCTCCAACACACACGATCTCCTCGATGTCAACCTCGCATCTGCTCACAACTTGGGCTCCACTCGAGCGATGGCTTGGTGCGTGATGTCATTCGACGGTCTCCTCAGTGTGTGTGTCCAATCCACCTCCATTTTCTCCTACATATTTGTTGAAAGACGGGTTCTTGACCAGTTTGTTCTCACAGTTTCTTGTTGCTAATTCTTTCTGGCTAGCTGGCCATTTGATCTTCAATACAGAGCGAAGGTGGTAGCTATTGATAAAAATCTGTAATAGTCTGTTGGAATTGCATTTCATGAAGCACAGTGCAAGTTTCTCACCCATGTAGAACAAGTGACTAACTTGACATTGGTGTTGAAAATCCGAAACTTGTCCTCTATGCTGACTGAGTGGAGTGCAGAAGATTTCCAAGCTGATTTCAGATTGATGAAGTTGTATCTTGCCTTACCGATTCTGCCTGGGCTTGACATCTTCAGCCTTCCCGACTGCTTGTGGTTAGAACAATGCTTCCTAGATAAGTGAAGGAAGTAACCTCTTTCAGATTTGGAAAACAGAAAGATTGAGCGAAGAAATATTTACTTTTTAATTAGATCCTATTCTCTGGCTCTACTCTAATATATATATCATTTTTGCAATACAGAACAATTTACCAAACAAGTGGTGATATGTTTGTTAACAATAATTAAACAGTGTCAAAATGTCAATGGGTTGATAATTAACGAAGAAAATCAATACACATTTAAAAAGTAGAAATGGATAGGATATATTAATTTTACAAGAATAACACGTAATTAAAGATGAAGTGGTCAAAATAAAAATAAAATAATTTGGACAATTATAATTTAATAGGGGGAGGACGCAATGTAGTCCTGTCTTGTAACAATGGCCACGGTAAGGAAAGTGGCTGTACAAATTTCTTCTGTACACATAAGCTTGGTTTCTTCTGGTGGATTCCGATTGCTTCAGCTGTTTGTAGAAGACGAACTCGTAGAGCAAAGTTAAGATTAGTCGGAATGCGATAAATAATTTTAAATGCAGTATTCACATCAACCTTGTGCTCAGTATCAACAAGGTGTGCTAAAATAGAACTACGAATAGATCTTGCTTAACCACGCTGGATGATGTTCAGAAATACGACAATGAAACTGCCTAATTGTACGCCCAATGTAGCTGGCTCCGCAGCTGCAGTCAAACTGGTAGACACACATAGAAGAGATTTCCCTCATCGATAGTGTTTGATGCTGTTTACTGTGGCTATTGTCTGGTTGGTTATCTTCATCACCTACAGAAAAGCTATTTAAACACTTTCATTGTGCAACTGGTGTCCTTCTCAGTACTATTTTTTCCTACCTCAAGGACTGATAGCGTTGCTAAGTAACATCGACGCCAAATACACCGCCATACACATAAATCCATGATTTTAATTAATTCAAATAATTTGTTTCTAGAAGGATGAGAGATTGATTTAATATATATAAATTTTTTTGTTGTTGTTTAAAATGGTTTTCATTAACTAATATTAAAAAAGACAGAATGTTTTAAATACTGGCAGATTCGTTGATTCACGCGCTCACTATCTCTCCTCTCTCTCTCTCGCTCGCTCGCTCACTCGCTCACTCGCTCACTCACTGTATCTCTCCATCTTGCCATTTGAATGTACACTAATTATTATTATTACTACATCATATGAATAAGGCATGTGAAATTATTATAACTACACTGTGTATTAAAAAATTAACGTGACTGTAATAAATCAATCATTGATAACATTGAATGATAGACAGATAATAATAATAATAATAATCCTTGTTAATGTTAATGAATAAGCACAAACATTTGTAAGTAGTATTGATAAAATTTTAAAATGATCGGTTTCATTGAAAAAAAAACTTAGTATTTTCTCTGATGTACAGATAAGTATTTGAAATAACACAGATGATGTTTAATTAACGATGAGGATGAAAATGATTCGATATTCTCCGACCTTTGGTATTTGATTGTTCATGCTGCATCACCAAGCTTAGTGACATCTTCAGAAATAACTTTACTGACATTTTAATAAAATTACTTCAAAAGATGTCATCAAGACAGACGATGAAATGTCTACGATACAGTACGATATCTTGGAGAACATCGAACAGCTTAGAGATAGAAGTGAGGCAAACGTGTAGCTTAGGTGGATGACACTGGTGTAGCTATGTTCTCTGAGCTGAAGGGTTTATTTGCAGAGATTCTATTGACTTCCTAGGCAAAATCGGCAGCGCCACATGTGGACTGCACCAAATGAAGGACTACACTTATGACGCTACCTACCTACTAGGCAGTGTGTTCGATCAAAGTGTCTAATACACAGTAGGCATCCTACTGATTGGAAGAAGGGCCACCTCGTCAAACAGCCAAAGAAGAGCGACTTAGGCCTCACTCTGCAAGTAAAATACTAAGTCGTATCATCCTGGAGAGAATAAAGGATGCACTGGATACAGAACTCCACCACCCACCGGAACAAGCTGGATTTAGGAAAGGTAAATCATGTGCTGATCAAATTGCAACTCTACGCATCGTCATCACAGAACAAAGCATAGAATGGCAGTCAAACCCCTACCTTAACCTCCTTCATCGACTTCAAAAAGGCCTTCGACAGTGCGGGGTTGACGGAGAAGTAATTTGGAAACTACTTCAACACTACGGCGTGCAATGCCCAAGTCTTTATCAACCTCATTCAACAGCTAGCTATATGACAATGCCACGTGTCAAGTGATCCACAACGGAAAACTCAGAGAGGCGTTCAAAGTACATACAGGAGTAAGACAAGCTGGCTGCCTATTATCACCGATGATATTCTTAATTGTGGTGGACTGGATTATGCGTCAGACTGTTGGGGTGAGGAGTCAGGAATACACTGGACGACCAATAAGAAGACTCTAGAAGATCTGGATTTCGCAGATGATATATGTCAATTGTCACACAAACTTGAAGACTTGCAAACGATAACCGACAAACTGGCTGAAGAGGCAGGCAGCGAAAACAGGATTGCAAGTGAACAAAGAGAAGACGGAGGTGATGAAGATAACCAACCAACAGCAACAGCAATAGCAACCAGCACCAATCACTACCAACGGGAGAGATTTAACAGAGGTTACCTCATTCATTTACCTGAGAAGCATCGTTTCAACTACAGGCAGAACGGACGAAGATGTCAAAGCTCGTCAGAATCGAAAAGGCAGGATTCTTCTTCATCAATCTGAAACCAATTTGGAAGTCTCCTACACTCAGCATAAGGTACAAGATATGGATTTTCAACACCAAAGTGTAGTCGGTCCTCCTATACGAGTCAGAAACTTGGCAAGCGTGTCACGAAAAGCATTTCCAACAGGTTGCAAACTTTCATTGACAGATGCCTTCGCTGGCTCCATACTGAAGATCAAATGGCCAGAAAGAATAATTAACAAGGAACTCTGCAGTGGAACAAACCAACCAAGAGCCGATTGCTCAACAATTATGTAGGAGAAAGTGGAGATGGGTCAGGCATACATTGAGGAGGCCGCCAAATGACATCACACGCAATGCAGACCATTGCTCGAGTGGGTTCCCGATGGGAAGTGACGGGTGGGTCGTCAGGGTGAGGGTGACATGGAGGAGATAGTATGAGGAAGAGATGACAGATTATGGTTACTCGCGGAGCCAGCCAGCTGAAGATGACGGCAGAAAACAGAAGAAAGTGGAGATGTGTTGTTGAAGTCCTATGTTCCACTCGGAACGCAAGGAAATAATAATAATAATCTAATACAGTCCTCTAGGGGGTCAATCGTGAGCCCGAATAGCTCATTTCTACCATCTCTGATCGCGTAACTTGGTGACACGGTTTCGAATGTCACAGGGAACATGAGTTCTATTCAAGATTGCAGATTTGCCGTGTTGATGAGTACCAGCAAACCCGAAACCTAGTTAGTGGGCTTCCCGTCTATCACCTCCAAACATCTAATAACAAAAGTTCATAGTCAACTGTGACTTCGGGCTACCTAGAATGATGGCCACAATGCACACTTGACTGATAGAATACAGTGTGCACAAAATGACGGGCTAGACGCATTAAACCAGTTAATTACTACCTAATGTCCAGTCAAAGAGAGTGACTATCAAAGTATTAGGGGATTTTCGTAGCCTTTAACTAATAATGTTTATAGTTAAGTGGATTCGACGTAATTCGAGGGGTGAAGGGTTAATAAAAATATTAGTTATTACAATGTGATACTGAACAACTTACAACTTTATTTTTCAAATAAGCTGACAGCTGCTTTTGGTCATTATGTGTCCTTTTCTCACTATATATACATGGGTAGATTGGATTGTTTGCTTCAAACCATAAGGCACTCGACCAATCACAATTAGCCTCTTCATCTGGATGACTGTTACAACGAATACAGGGGACAAACCATGCTGAATGTGTAACTAGTGGTACTAAAATAGTAATACAGAGTAGAAACGTGTGTATTATAGATTAAAACAGAGAGAAAAATGAAGAAAGAAGCCATTTTTTCTGTTAATATTGGCAACAATCATTTATATGTGAATCACATGTTAGGTTTATTTGAATGAATAAGGGTTTACAAATTTCTTCATTTAAACATGATTAGTAAAATGCAACTGGAGAAATATTATCACTGGCGATTAAAAAGAGATAACAAATTCCAGTATTCCGCAGAGTGGGATCTCAGTCGGGCACTCTACATCTCCCACTGCAACTTGGATAAACATTCAAAGACTTTGTTGACTGATGTATTGTTTTTATCGAGCCAGTCCTAACTTTCTGCTAATCTGATCCTATTTCACCTAGCATTGCTTGTCGAGAAACGTTATGATTTTCTGTGATTAACACACGTCTTAAAAGTGGTCATTCAAAAACTGGTGGACTAACTTTCTCTTCTTACAAACCACTGTCCATCGAATATCACTGTCTAGGGACTTGTCGTTGCATCTGAAACATGGAATTTAGCGAAGACAGTTCCTCTCCGCTTTTTCTGACTTAAATGCCCACTTTTATAAGTCATAAAGGAGGACGAAGTGGATATTACGACTGCACCAAGGATGAATAAAGTTTGGAAGTAACAAGATTTCGATAGCAAACAGTCAGTTGGGGCACAGACAATTTCCGAAATGAATGAAGTGATCAATACATTCAGCCATTTAAACTGGGAAATGATGGAGACCAGTCTTATATTGTGGCAGAAGTGAATCATGCTCACCAGAAGTTTTCGGGTGACTCTACATTTTATGGTCTTTGCTTAAACGAAGAATGTTGTCTTCCTATTCTAGTTCCATAATAATCTTTATCGGTAACAAGTCAATCCGTAAGACATCGAAGTCGACTAAGTCGGTACTGTACTCACAACCAGACATCTCCAGGATATCTCTTTACTGACAAAACCAGATGCTGTATTCAGGTTAATTTATAGTAGCTGCTGGAAGCCGATAATGACGCATTTGTCGCATAAGCTGCTGAAGGGCGAAGACATGAATTGCTCATCGAATCTGCGCCTGCATCCTTCCTCATTTTAAAGGGTTCTTTCCCCAATGCACTCGCAAACCTCGCTAAGCCTGGAGTATTGCTCGTAAATAGGGAAGGTTTGACGTTTGAAATTCAAAACTATGGCTTAAAACCCCATTTTACACTCGGAACGCAAAGAAATAAAACAAATTTCCCCAGAACTATGAAACCTACAACGTTAGATAGTAAGTTACCCAAGCTGATCCCTCTGTGACCGTCACAGAAAATCTTGTTTTTTCCCTATAACACTGGGTGATCAACCACCTTTAACAGTCTGTCAGGGGTATTTTGTGTCCAAATATACTAGCGAGCATCATGGCCTCAGTAACTAGGAGTAATCAGCTCTGAGCCTTTAACATGATTGCTGTCGACTTCTGTAGATAACTTTATATTTTATCCCCTGCATCTAAGATAAGATAGTATAAAGTCAAATTCCCAATTTCCCATCAGTTTTGATGGGTGGATGAACCAACGTGAAAGTCGTGTGATTTATTACCTCAGTTGCATTAGTTATCCAAATCAATAATGATAGTGATAGGTCAACCGTAATGAAGAACTGTGGAAACGGAAGCCAACGAGCAGTTAAAACATCCGATGGCGTGATTCTTTCTTGCAATAATATTTAATTGCACTTTATGTTAAACTCGTTGATGTGATAAGTCAGTAAAGTGATGAACAAATAGATGGGAATATTCCATTTTGATCAGAATTAACTTAGGCATTTTTCAACGATGAACTGTCTCCCAAGGGTAAATTTAATATGGAAACCTAAACTTTTATCTTCTTCATAAGACAGTAATGAAGATATAGAAATATGACCTGTATCCTTTTTTCAAATTGTGATCACGAAATATGTGAACTCACGTATATACAGGAGAGTAGAAATAATTTAATATACGGAAGTACCTCGATGTTTTAAGGATGTTAATTTAGTCATACGACAAGATTAAATGTTGAGAAGTATTTTATCAAAGTTAAATCAAACCACCCACAGTGTCTTCAAGTAAAGAAGAATAGTGGGAAGCCGTGACCAGTAGGGTACAGCAGATCAAAGATGAGGCAGTAACTTATCACAGAAGACATTGCGAAATGGTAGCGCTATGTCGTGAATTGGCAGAAGTTAGAATTCAAGAACCATTAGATCGGGTCCTAGTGGCTCAATGGTCTACGAGCTCGCCTTGTAACCAGAAGGTCCCGGGTTCGAACCCCGGTGGGTGCGTACTGATGAGGAGTCCCGAACTAGAACGAAACAGCTGTCCAGTACTCCCAGGTTTTCCAGTGGTTCTCTAACTGATGTCAGCTCATGATGAAATCCTCCAACCAATCAAACAAAAAATCCCTACAAAACCAATACTTAAAGAAGAAGAATTATTGAATTATATCACCAGAGCTAATATTGGTAAATTCTCAGGGATTCTATTAGCTGGATAGACCCAGTATATTGGTTACAAATTGCACAGAAAAGTAAATTCGGCAGTTTATCAACCAGCATCGATTATATGTTACGTGTTGGAAACCATTTGTCATAAGTTTTGGATGATTGTCAGAATGGTACTGAAAGGTAAAGAATTTAGCTAATGAAAATTTATTCATGAGTGAGATGACTATAAATAAGTGGTTGGTCCAAGTTTGGGATTCCTCAGCTGCTCACTCATGATCCAAATCATGGCCTTCAGATTACGAGGCAAAGACATTACTGTTCAGCTATCTGAGACGAAGTCCATTGACTTGTGAATTCAGATGCCTGTCATTTTGAAATACATATATATATAGCTACCGTCAGCCACTTTCATCGAGGAGTATCCGCCCTCACGCGTGACTTGATAATTACTTTGTGGACTTTTTCGCTACATTATTTGACCTAGTAATAAAGTGTTTCCCTTATAATTATTTGCTGTGCAGTTAAATTTAAGATTTTAATAACGTCATACACACTTTCTGTTGGACTCTCTTTGGAATATTCCATTAAAAGTGACCCACTAAGTGTGATGTGTACCCTTACGATAAGAACTCTAAATGTGACAGTCATACTAGGAAATAGAGATAACAGTCATTGCTTCGATAATTCGATGACTAGGTTTAGTGTATGGTAGTGGTACGAAGGTAAAATTACTACCGGTGAAACGTCTCAGAGAGTATAACTCGACCAAATGCCTATTCCAGTGATGCAACAGGGAAATTGAAAATACTACCAAATTAATAAGTTATCCGATAAAGCGGTAAACATCATGTTTCAAGCTGATTAAACCAAACGAAGCAGATGCAAAAAAGTAGAAATTGTTATGAAGGAAGTAATATCTCATCTGAGAATCTAATCTGTGTCACCAAGTGCTGTAGTAACAGACGATACCAATGAGTTATTCGGGCTCACGATTGACCCCCTGTGGGTCTGTGTTAGATACTTTGGTCGAACACACTGGTTGCATTCCTACTTCTCTAACAGAAAGCAGTACACCGTATACAAAGGTTAATCATCCTCTGCTGTACTCAATGAAGCCGGTGTCTCCCAAGGTGCTGTACTCTCCCCACTTCTCTTTTCTTTTCTTTCTACATGACTTACCATCTTCAAATGACATTAATTTTGTCAAATATGCTGACGACCTGACTGTATCTTTGCCTGTCAAATGTCAAAGTGACTGCTCTAAACTTAATGGCTTTCTGTCAGAAATCAGCCAGTGGTCCAAGGAAAACGGTCTTACCCTAAACCCCCCAAATGCCAAACAGTCAATTTCACCTTTAGGCATAAATCCGACCAAAACAAACTGGTTGGCTCTCATGAGGCATGCAACATAGACGGCACTGAAATAGAAACCAAGTCGGAAATTAAATACCTAGGTGTCATTCTATCTGCTGATCTTTCCTGGTCGTCTCATATATCTTGGCGATTTCTAAGAAAATATTCCGTCTTACCTTCTACATCAAGAAGTTAAAACATTCTGGTATGACCCAACCCTTACGCCTACAATTCGTTAACTCTCGCATTCTGCCCATTATTCTCTATTGTTCCCCTTAGTTTTTCCAGGGCTACTGAAGAAAGACTATAACATATTATGCAGGATGTTAAAGGTTGTCAGCAGGATAAGCAACGTGCCACTTAAGCAGCTTGTTAATATTCTGCTTGACAGGCACATGGACTCATGTGAAAAATTGACCAAATCCATTTTACCTAACTCACACCACCCTCTTCACTCACAACTCTCCCCTCCCCTTGCATCTCATCAGGCAAAACAAGAAGCCTATATAGAAAATTAAATGCTCGCACTAGCAAGTACAAAAACTCAACCATACCCTACTTAGCTCGTGTTCTGTGCGATAAAGAAAGCATCAGGCGTGACACCTATAATTCAATAAATAGTCAGTAGAACAACTGGACCTCGTCTTTCCAACTCATATCATTTATAGGTACAACATTTTCTTTCTTTCTTTTCCTTTTCTGTCTCTCTCTTTTTTCTTCTTTCCGTTATGTGCTGCTTTGTTTCTTACTTCCGCTTACGCCAGTAAATATGACAGCACCTACTTTTCTAACACCTTCAAACCCTGTTCAAATTTGGCTTTGCTACCGACATGCCAATGTGTTGTTGTAATAATGAAGTGAGATTTTGCTTAATCTGTGTAGAATTCTATTTATTGATAATGTACTAACTGGATGCAATACTGTAGTAAAAATGCTGAGAATTCCATTCTGTATCACATGTACTGTTTTGGAATAAAGCAAATTATCATTATTGTTATTGTTATTATTATTAGTAGTAGGTAAGTGGTGTCATGCCTGTAGTCCTTTATTTGCTGCAAACTGAATTCTGTCAACAGACTGAGCGAAGAAAAGACTTTCTATGCAGCTAAGCTATGCTGTATGTTCATTCACTAGCCGATCAATACTTAGTTCAAGAAATAACGACAGACTGCCCTGTTT